CGGTACTACCACTTTGTTTTTGACTCCGAGAAATAACAGAATGCAAATTGGGTACCGATACCCCCTGGACAGTATCGATACCGTTGGTTTACAACGGTCAAAATATTTGAATTTTATACAGGTAGTACTGATACCCCTATGAAGGAGTATCGATACCCTACGCTCCCAGCAGACTTTTCAAGTGGATTTCACACTACGATAACTCTATTGATTCCATGATCATCTCCAACGTCTAGAATTGATCTGATGTATATTTAAACAAGTCTTGAATCCATTGGTGATTAGGAATTGAGAAAAGAAACAAGAGAGAAGGTCTTAAACATCAAGTTTGAGCAATCATGCCAACATCCATTCAATATTCATTTGTCTTTCAAGAACACCATTTGCTCAATTGTATTATTCTTGAGGTTCTTTCTTTATTCTAGAATTTTGCAAACATCTTTGTGGTTTTTCTGTAGTTTGCAAAGTTTGTAACTTCTCTTTGAGAAGAAAGTGGCTCAAGATTTTCGGGTATAATTCTTGAGGGAGTTGTAATATTACTCTTTTCCCTCAAAGAAAACAAATTAGTGAATTTGTGGAAAATCCATTGTGGATAGCTAAGGTAGTGGACGTAGACTTTGGTTGAGAAAGTCGAACCACTCTAAATTGTTGTGCAAATCTTTTCAATTTTCTGTCAAGATTCCACCAAAATTTTAATTGCCATTCACCCCTCTTGGCTAATTCATCCGATCGATAGACTCAACACACTAGATAACTTATTCTGATCTCCTAAACCCAGTCATCCAAACATTTCCTATGAACTGGAAGTTTTCTGTCTTTTACTATCTGATATATCAATGGACCTCAGCTCAACATAAAATATGTATATGTCTGAATCAATTAAGGAGACATATGATTATTTGTTATCTGCAAGTTCTGTATTATTGAGTTTTCCAAAGCTCACTTGGTTACTCACATTTTCAGGTTAAAATGGATTGAACCAGCAATTATCGACATCAGTAAGGGAGTTCCACCGGTGTTGCTTGCGGAGTAAGGTGCATATGTTTAGGGGGCATGTAGGTTGTTTATTTTTATATTTGAGTCTGAAATCTATTTTATTTTTAATATTGTTAAATGTTACTATTGTTTTAAATTATTTTATGATTTTCATGTTTTAACAAAAAATTAATTTTTTCGTGATTTTTACGGTGCGTCACTCCGGTGGCCCTAATGTGACACCTTAGATCAGATCGGACCACCCGCATCAGTCTGAGGGGGTTACACTGTCACCTCCGACTACATTTGTTCACCATTGGCAACAGACTTTGATTTGGCTCCGACAGTGTTAAGCAGACGTCGCCTCAAAGCATGTTCTGCAAGGGTCTTGGTCATAGTGCTAGTAAGGTATTGGACATGTTACAATGTGTACAATGGAAAACACGTCAGGAATCTTTCCCGTAGTGTACAACACTCGATGTTTCAATCCAAGTCAATATTCACAATGGAAAACACAAGTATCCTTGCCTATATAATGCAACCTCTACTACTGACATTTTAAATTATAACACACAGTCTCAACTTATAAGAGGCTCCTCTTCTGGTGGTACGACTTGACACGAAACATAGACATCCATATGTCAAAATCGGTGATATATGTTATGCCACCCGAAAAGAATGCCTTTTATAAAGATGTTTCCCTCTAATTTTCATGAGTAAGTTTTCATTTAATAACGCCCTTAAAAGACATTCTTTTCTGCTGGCATCCTTATACGACCCATCCAAGTAAACAAAATTATGTGAGGGAGTTTCAATATCCACCCTCCTCCATCAAAACCATCGGTCGATATTTAAACCTTCTTCAACACAAGTAACCTGACATTCTTGAGAAACTTATTATTTCTAAAAATGCATCCTCTTCTAATGGCATGCTCCATGGAAGAACCTAGGGTTTTCTTAGTGCATGAAATTTCTAGTTCCATCAAACCACTCGGTAACCTATGGCTTTTAATTCTATGACTAGGATTACTATGAAACGTGTTTTTGGTTCGAACAATTTTCAACATGATTTTTCACTGCTTACAATGTCTCATATGTGTCAATACTAGCCTCAATTGAAACATAAGTATCAATATTGCGACTCTAATCTTATAAATGATGAAACGTTTCATACTAACTTCCTAAAAATACTCACCGAACATGTGTACAAAGCCATGTTAGCATCTTCTTAATGTAGAAAACCAAGCTTTTGAATCATGTTGAACACGATTTTTACCTCGCTTGCAATGTCTCGTATGTGTCGATATTACACTCAATTGAAAGATAAGTTACAATACTATGCCTCTAATATAATAAAGTACGAAAATTTTCAAATTAAATACCCAAAAAAATACCTCGAATATACCTATCAAACCATTTTAGAATTTTCTTCACGCACAAAACAAGCTTTGGAAGCATATTCAACACGATTTTTTATCGGCTTACAATGTCTCGTATGTCTCGATATTGGCCTCAATTGCAAGATAAATTCAAATAGTACGCTTGTAATCTTATAAATTACAAAAATTTTGAGATTCAATACCCGAAAATACCACTCGAACATGCCTATAAGAACTTGCGATATGGGCTGCAAAACAACATACATCGTGTCTTGTAGGACGCGAGATATGTTAAATATTGTTCGCGATAAATTACTCGCTGCGATTCAATATATCGTGGACCTCGCGTCCCACAGAGCGCGAGATATTAAATACCATTATTAAATATTGTTCTTTGAAAAGTGCATCCACCTCGGAAGTAACTCGCGCCTAGTTAGAAGCGAGTAATTTATCGTATTCGTACGACGTGAGGTAGTCCTACGTGTGCAGTTTGGGGGCATCCATCTAAATAATCTTGGGAGGAAGTTGTTCTTCAAAAATATTTAATGGGGTTATTGATTTAAGAATGCCTTATTTTTGTACCCACCATTAAAAGCTTTACGCGTTCATTACCTAAAATATTCGTTTTAGTCCGTTTTAGCACCTAAACTTTCATTTTTTTTCAAAACTTAAAGTTAAATTTTGAACAGATACTAAAATGAAGTAAAACTAAACTTTAAGCGTGGTTTGAAAAAAATAAAAGTTAAGTACTAAAACGAACCAAAATTGAAGTTTAGGTACTAATCGTGTAATTTTTCTTATAGGTTAGATATTAGAAAGTAAATATTCATAAGAATATATATATATACACGCGCAATTATAATCACAAATTTTATTATTATCTTCTATTATTAATTATTTGTTATTATTTTATTTATAATATTAAAATTCAATTATATTAATAGGGTAGCGCAACGTGGATTAGTAATTATTTTGACCAATCTAAAAATTTAAGGAATAATGATAGGAATTCAATAATTCTATAAAAGAAATCAATAAAGCATGAATTAAAAAGAATCAAACAAATAAATGAAAGAGGGAATAAAAGGAAAGATTTTACTAAGGTGCAAGGAGGTTGCCGAGTAGTCCTCGAACTATTCTCTTTTACTTGATTCTGAATATAAATAAAAAAATAAAACAAAAACTAAAGGTGATAGAAAATTCAGAGAATAAATATGACAGCACCTTACTTTAGGATGGTCGGTTGTTAGATAAATATTTTTTTTATTAATTTAAAGTAAGTACAAGGTAGAGATAATATCTGTTTAAAAATAACTTTTAATATCTTGACGTTGGACGCTTACATTTTTTACACTAATAGTGGTCGAACTCAGGTTTCTCAAAGATTTCCAATCATTCCTTTATCGCGGCCTTGATTCATACTCTTAAATAAATATTGGATTAAATAAAAATATTTAATTCTCAAAAGATGTTTATATTTACTGATATTAGTTCTCTAATGATATTTAATCCTTAATAACTTAGACAATGAAGGAAAACACACGAGATCAACACTGCACTAGATAACACCTTTCCCCCGCTCTTCTCAACAAATTCGGTTGTAACTGCTTGCTTAAAGGTTAATAAAATTCAATTCGAATAAAAAAATTTGATATTTTAAATTTGAATCAATTCAAAAAAAAATCAACTCGAATTAGGTTCGAGTTATAATTTCATAAATTTAACTCAAAAAAATTTAAATTCGATTCGAGTTATAAAATAGAACTCAAATAACTTGAAAATTTAGTAATTAGTGAATTGGTTTCAAGTTTAAGACAATTCCCTCAACTCTTAATATATGTATTATATGAAAAAAAAATATATAAAGAAATGTGTATGTATTGGGCATGGTTATAGAAAACATTTAAATTAGAATCAAATAATATCATAATATTATAAATATTTATTAATTAAATTTAAACGTAAACTCAGCTTGACTCAAAAAAAATTAAATCAAGTTTGAGTTATAAAATAAGACTCGTCAACTTACATAATTTGAATTTTTTTTCTCGACACAATCGAGCACTCACCCCTACTTACTTTTGGAGCTATATGCACATTTTGGCTCGCATATGCTCTCATTGATATGATAAAATATAATCTTAAAAATGCTTGAACTGTATTTTGTTAATCAACTCTCCCTTTACATTATGTGGTCGAGTCAGTTCTTGAAACATTATATCGTCAAGCTAATGCTTGAAAACAACTACAATGCCAATAGATATCATTAAAAGATATTTTATCATATCTCAATCAACACGTTAATATTATAACAAAAATAGAGAAGTTTAAAACATATGAATAATCAACAATCATTTTACAACTTTAATAATTGAGGGACTCAATAAAACAACCGATAGATCATTTTGTAACTTTTAAGAGTCGGAAGACTTAACAAAACAACGCCCTACATTAGAGAGACCGGGACCATTTGTATACTTTACTGTTCAAAGTATCATATCAACGAATATTACCATGTGTAAAAAGCAAGGTTGATTGAAACCAGAAAGATGATAGAAAAATCTAGCGTAGAACGTAATGCAAAGCAGTAACAGAGAAACCGGCAGATATGCAGATATTTAAAGCAGAGGGAAAACGTGCACAAATGTAGAATAACTGCTTCTAGTAACGAAATGAAAATAATTCCGTCAATAAAAGAATTTGATTCACTTTATAATAGAAGAATAAATCACCATGACCGGGGGAAAAAGGCCGAGGTTTTAAGTCTATCTATACCTTATGACAATTCTAAACCTGTGACAGCCGGGAAATTTATAATTTATTTACATAAAATACAGCTGCTTTCCTTTTAAACATTGTGTATAAGCTTGGAAAACTTGAACAGGCATGAACCTAATCCTGTAAGGGGGCGGACATTGCAAAGAGCATATCTGGTGCCATGTTTATTCTTACGGCTCACGAATGGTCTCCGGGAGAGGCTGATGAGGAGCGAATTAAGTTTTGGGCTTTCCTTGATTGCCGAATATTCTTGAGCGTCATCACGAGTTTCTGTCTCTCGCCTTCAACCTCTGCAAATTGAAGGCTTAGCTGAGAGTATCGTTCATGCATCTCTTTTAGTTCAGTCTCTACCACTCCGTATTTTCCCTTAATCTCCAACATGTCTTTGATCAGTTCATTGATGTCCCTGAAACTTTTGAACACTGCTTCCTCATCATTGTGCTGTTTCAGGAAAGAGCTGGACCACAAAAAAATATTATGTCAAATTCTTTGCTGTCGCCTTTTCTCAGCTAGGGTTAGAATTCATTCATGCATGCAACACTCTAGAGGCATTAATATGCAATGTGCTTAGAACCTTAAACAGAGAATCCATAGCAATTTTCATTTAAGTGACCTTCAAGGACAAAGCAAATTCCTTAATCAAAAGGTTTCGTCTTAGAAAAGCAGACTAGTTTTCTTTTCTAGAACGTTGCATACCTCTGAAAAAGAATGCTTGATTTCTTCTTTGTTTGCAACGCCTCGGCAAGCTCAAGTTCCAACGCTAGTACCCGTTCTAATGCATTTCCAGTTTCTAAATACTCATTAAACGAAGGAAATATGCTTCCCAGTTCCTCATTCACCTGTGAAAAGGCAAAAAGTGTGAGCCTGATTGAATATCTTCACCAAATCTTTATGAAAGAGGGTCATATTGATCCACCTTATCTAACTGCATTAGTTCTTGCTGTAAACATGGAAACTTGGTGTTGAAATCTTGAGCATGTTTTGAAAGAATCAGATTCTCATTTTTCATCCTTTCCAGCTAAAAGCACCAAAAGAAGAAAGTAAATTAATCACCATTACTAGATGTTATCCTAAAGAAATTTTATGCCACAAATGTAATGATTCCCTCGAGCTCAACAATACAAGAAATTGCAATTGAATTTGGGTGACATCATCACTAAGAAGACTGTTGGGGTGAATTGGGGGCCGAAACCGTTTAGGCTGTTTAATTATTTAATGGATGAAGTTGGTTTTCAAGAGATGATGGAGGGGGAGTTTCAAAAGATTCAAAAGGGTTCTAGGAGAAAGGGCATCACGAGTATTCTGCAGAGTTCCAAGGCTGTTATTAAGGGCTGGGCTGAAAATGGTTACAGAAATTTACCGGTTTCAATTTCGAATCTGGAAAAGTCAATTCACGATATGGAATTGGCTATCCAACAGGGGTCTTCTTCGGTACAAGTGGAAGATTTGTTAAAGGCAAAGACGGAGCTATAGGCATTCTATAAAAAGGATGAAAGGATATGGCACCAAAAATCTAGAACCAAGTGGATAAAAGAAGGGGATAGGAACACTAGATTTTTTTCATTTGTGTGATGCGAACAGAGGTAGAGTGAATTTTATTAAATGTTTAAAAGATAATGACTGTTTGCTTTCAGACCCCTCCCAAATCAGGCGCAGCGTTTTAATTTTTTTCAAATTGGCCTACAATAAGAAGACTACGGTTGAAGTTGATGAAATTGATCTCAAATTCTCGAAACTCTCGGATTTTCAAAGGTCCTTGTTGGAAAAGCCCTTCTCAGAGGAGGAGGTTTGGGATGCAATTGCGTCTTCGGATAGTAACAAAGCTCCCAGTCCGGATGGTCTGAACAAGGGTTTTTTCAAGAAATTTTGGCCAAATCTAAAGATAGATATTATGAGGGTTTTTAAGGATTTCTTCTTGGGAAAATGTTGGGAGAAGGGGGTGAACCATTTTTTCATCACTCTCATTCCAAAAAAGCCTAATCTGGAATGCTCGGAGGATTTTAAACATATTAGTCTAGTTGGCGGGCTGTTTAAAATTCTTTCCAAGGTATTGGAAGAAGATTGCGATCGTGTATTGACTCCTTACTTGGACCCTCTCAGTTTGCTTTTACCCCAGGGAGACAAAACCTAGATTACTCCTTCATTGCAAATGAAGTACTAGACTATTGGAGTAAAAAAGGTCTCGAAGGGGTTGCGTTCAAGGTGGACATCAAGAGAGCCTACGACACAGTTAATTGGTCAATTCTAATTGAAGTTATGAAGAAAATGGGTTTTGGTCAGAAATGGATTTCTTGGATTTTTAAATGAATTTCCACAGCCTCAATTTCTGTTTTAGTGACTGGTTCCCCTACGGAGGATTTTCAGATTGCTAGAGGTCTTCGGCAAGGGTGTTCTTTATCTCCCTTTTTGTTTAATTTGGTTGGGGAATTATAGAATTTGCTGTTGTCTACAAAGCTATTAGTTTGGGGTTGTTTATTGGTTTTGAGATTGGCAATCAGGTAAACTCTCCCCTTTATCGCATCTGCAATTCGCAGATGATTTGATGATTTTCTGTAATGTTTCTCTTGGCCAGCTGAAGAATGTTAAAAGGATTCTTCTCATTTTTTAGATGATTTCTGGTCTGCAGCTGAATTTGTCGAAAAGCAGGATTTTGGTGTAAATATTGGTTGTGATTTACCAAATGAGTGGGCTGGAGAGATTGGTTGTCCGATAGGAGAATTCCCGTCTAATTATCTAGGTCTCCCCTTGGGAGCAAAAAGGAATTCGGCTATGTTAAGGGATTCAGTCATCCAAAGATTTCATAAGAGATTGTCAGGGTGGAAAGCAACGTCCCTCTCTTAGGCGGGCAGAGTTGTGCTCGTTAAATCAGTCCTCTGTTCCTTGCTGATTTATACTACCTGTCCTTAATTAGAATGCCGCAGTGTGTGCTGAAAAGATTAAATTCCATTATGGCTAAATTCTTATAGGGTGGTTCGAATGAAGAAAAGAAGATTCATTGGGAAGGTGGTCGTCCGTTTGCCAATCCAAGAAAGTGAGTGGTTTGGGAATTTTGAACCTCGATATCATGAACCGTGCCCTATTAGGAAAATGGTCCTGGAAATTCGTTTGCGAGAAAGTTCATGGTGGAAAAGGATGGTCTGCTATAAGTAGAACACTGACCCAAAGTCCATGATGGTTGGAAACGTCCCTTCTTCGAGATCATCCTGGATTTGGAGCGGCATTGTGAACAATTGTGGGAAGAATGATGAGTTCGGGATGGTTTTCTGTAAACATCCGAAGTACAAGTAGGTAATGAGGTGTCAATACGTTTTTGACTGGATGAGTGGATTGGAAATTCTTCTTTAAAGTTGTTGTTCCCTCGTTTGTTTGCGCTTTTTATTAACAAGTTTGGGATGATGGCTGAGTTCAGAAGCATAAACCCGTCAGGATGGTGCTGGGACATTCAGTTTAGAGGGAATTTAGCTGATTGGGAAGTGGACCTTTGGTTAGAACTTCAATCTATGCTAAATAATTTTACTGTTGGAACTCTTGAGAATGACTGTTGTGTGTGGCTGGGTAACGGGGAAGGGTCTTACACCGTTAAATCATGTGTTAAATTATTATCTGATCGGGCCTCCTCAAATTCCATCTGGTCCAAGCAAGTATGGCTTGGAGTATCCCCTCCAAGGGTTGAGTCATTTGTATGGCAGGTTATCCATCAAAAATTGGTTGTTAGATCGGAACTTTTTAAGCTTGGGGTAATCGGATCTGAGGATTTGCTTTGTCCTCTTTGTGGTTTGGAAAATTAAACAGTCTCTCATCTCTTTGTGTCATGCATAATTGTGTGGGAGTTATGTAGATTTTTTAGGTTTTGGAATGTTTCAACTGCCGTCCCTAATAAACCTTCAAATCTTATTGCGGTTTGGCTGGATTTAATCCCTTTTTCGAAAATCTGGAGTTTCATTCCAGGGGCTATATTGTGGTTGATTTGGAAGCTCAGAAACGCTGTCATTTTTGAGAAAGCCAAGGTTGACCCTACCCAATTATGGTTCCTTACCAGGTACAGGTTGGCAGCATGGTTTAGGGAAAAGTATCCCAACCTTTCGGTTCAGTTTGATTGCCTAGTGGGAGATCCTAAGTTGGCTGATGGGTTACTACGTAGTCAAAAGAATACCTCGTCCCCCTCTTGGTCTCCGCCTCTCTCGGGTTTCTTTAAGGAAAACATAGATGGTGCGATGGACAAAGATTGGATCAGAGGTGGTATTGGTGGGGTTCTCTGCAATTCAAATGGGTTGCTGCTAGGGTCCTTCTCGAAGCCCTCTGGCCCTGCCCCCCGTCCTAGCTGAATCGTTGGCTGTGAAAGTTGGTCTGATTCTTTTCGTGGAGTCGGAGTGGAACTCAAAGGGGAGGTTAATTCTAGAAAGTGATTGTGCAAACGCTTTGGGTTGGATAAAAAGTCCTGGTTCTTGTCCTAGTCTCTTTGAATCTTTAGTGAAAGAAATAGTCGAGATTGTTGTCAACCTGAATGTTATTATTAAGCACATTCAGAGATGTGTGAACTTGGAAGCGGATGGCTTTGCTAAGTTAGGAATTAGTTGATAGCTCCTTTGTGCTTTGTGCTTTATTGTTATTGGTTGTTAGATAGTTGGTTAGGTTCTTGGGCTGGTTATTTTTTCTGTGTTTTTTGTACCTATGGATGATATTGATTTCTTAATAAAACTGAGGTACACATTCCTCCTTCCTATGTTCGTGGAGATACTTTTTAGTATTTCTTCGGATACGAAGGGGTTTTTAATGAGACCTCCCATTTCTTATTAAAAAAAAATCTGGCACCTTACAGCTTTGACAATAAACATACCTCGTTATTTAGGTGGTCCATACTTGATCTTAAACTTTGGGCTTAAAACGATCATTGATTAAGGCTAGACACTTGGCATCACTCTTCGGCAAGTTCCATTGGTTGACGAGTGTCAGACTTTGAACTTCATTTGTATCATTAGCTACCAGATCCTGATATACCATTAAGCAAATCATCAGGTCTAGATAACATCAAAGTCATTTTCAGTTCTTTCTTAGAAAGGCACACTTCGCATTTATAATAAGTTGATAATCGAGTACTAAATTCTCAAATTATATCATTAAAACAAATATATGCGACACAACAGAATCATATGCTACATAAAGTTTTCAGACTTATAATTCATTCAAAACAAAGAATTACTAATTGAATCAATCATAGTAGAGAAGATATTCCAAGCAAACTGATAAAAACTACCTGCTCAGGTCGCAAATCTGTGGATGCATTTGTGCGGTCGCCTACACCAACAGGAACTAAGCCTTCTGCTTGTCTGGAGTTTTCTGAAGTATCTTGGTCCAAATTCATGAAATCAATGTCCCGAGTTGGAGCAGTATTGACAACAAGCTCACCAGGAATGCTAGCATCTTTTAGTTTTCCATTTCTTTCAGTTAGAAAATTCGTAGTCGATTTGGAGGTCTCAAGCAATTCTTTCACTACTCTAAGTTCAACTGAGAGTCTAGATTTTTCCTCATTACATTCTAGCAAAGACGCCTCAAGTTTCTGTTTTTCCGCGTTGCATTCTTGCAAAGATGCTTCAAGTTTCTGTTTTTCTTCATTACATTCTTGCAAATATGCTTCAAGTTTCTGTTTTTCTTCCATGCAGAATTCAAGGGTAATCATTGAGCAATCCATTTCAGTTTTCATCAGGTCATAAGCCCTCATTTTTTCACGCTTCTCCGAAATCAATGCTTGTAACTCAGCCTCCAGTTCCAAGATCTTCACTCCCAGTTCTTCATTTCTCTTTAAGTGAGACGCTTCTGATTTCTTTCTATTCTCAATGTCATCCACAGCATCTTGTAATTTCCATAGCATTTCCTCGCTATGCTTTTTGGAGACAGCCAACTGATGCTTTAGTTCTTGCAGCCTTGTTTCATACTGTTCTTTGATAAATGCAATTCTTAAGGACTCTTGCATAGCAGTTGGTGGTGCTTCTGATTCTCTCTTCTCCGGCGCCTGGATGGATTCTGCATCAGCCTTATCTTTGAGCTCCTTCAAATGTATGGACAAGTTTTTGAACTCTTCAGTCTTCAAAATTTGTTCAGAAAGCCTTTGAGAAAGCTCATTACACTGATTCTGCAGCAGCAGCACTTCATCATTGCGCCCTTCCAGTAAGATCATCTGAGTGGTCTGTTCATCCAATTTACCTTTGAGTACTAAGACATTGAATTCCAGTTCTTCCTTCAATACCATCAGATTATCAATCTCTTCTTGGGAGCAGCCAAGTAAGTGCTTCAGCCTTTCAACTTCAAGAGCATGCTGATGGTTATCCTGAGAGTAAGCGAACTCAATCTTTCCGATCTTACTTTTGTAGTCCTGAAGCTCAGCTATTACAGAGCTATTTTTATTGATAAGTATCTGGTTTTCAGCCATCTGAGTGCTCTGTTCATCCAATTTAGCTTTAAGTACTAGGACAGAGAATTCCAGTTCTTCCTTCAATACCATCAGATTATCAATCTCTTCTCGTGAGCAGCCAAGTAAGTGCTTCAGCCTTTCAACTTCAAGTGCATGCTGATGATTATCCTCAAAGTAAGCGAACTCTATCTTTTTTATCTTACTTTTGCAGTCCTGAAGCTCAGCTATTACAGTGCTATTTTTATTGATAAGTATCTGGTTTTCAGCCATGGAAGCTTCTAACTCTGATTTTAGGGAGTCAAGTGTCATTGATAATCTTCTACTTTCTTCAATGCAGTGTGCTTCACGAGCAAGACAACCATTAAGTATACTCTCAAAATTATGATGCTTCTTTTGAAGCTCTGCAAGTTGTCTTTCAGACCTGAAAAGTTGATGAACAAGGTCAGTGGTCCAGTTTTCATACTGAGCTCTTAAGAAAATGAGGATAAGATCTGCAGCTATTGAACGTTCATGCATTTCAGACAACTGAGTTTCCAGAGAAGTAATAGTGGAAGACTCTTTGACAGCATCGATGAGGCGCTCCTCAGACTGCTGTAAAAGACTGCAAACTCTAGATTTCTCTGATTCTAGGTCCAACAACATATGCTTAAGATGGCCCAGTTCAGATTTATGTTGGTCAAATTGCAACAACTGACCGTGGTTCTCATTCATTTGGGAAGTAAGATCTGTAATCACACTCTGTAATTTATCTTTGGCGATTCTTTCTGATTGCAGCTCATCATGTGCAGAATGCAAACTGTCTTGTAAACCATTAATTTCCAAAGCAAGCTTGGATGCCTCCTCAGATTTATCCCGTAAAGATTGCACCAATGCTTTGTTTTCTTCCAGAAGTTCAGCCACAGTCAACTTATTGCTTCCAAGTTCTTCATTGACAGACTCTAAACCAAGAGTTCTTCAGCAATATCCCTATTCTTAGAAGTAAACTGCTGTAGCTCCGTTTCAAAATGCTCAAGATCAGATAAGAGATCTCTCTGCTGCTGTGCATTGGTTTCTTCAACTTCAGAGCTAACCTTGAGCTTTTCGGCAACAGCTTCAATTTCTAACTGAAGCTTTTGTACAACTGCATTGGATAGATCCATTTTATCAACCATGGCTCGTACATCACATTCGAACTTCTGTTTCGTTAGCACCATGTCTGATTCTACCACACTTAAAGACGCTTGAGCCTTATCTCTTTCACCCATCAGATCTTTCTTTTCTTTCAAGAGATGAAGAAAATTTTCATATGCATTATTCTGGACCTCTTCTAACTGGGCAATGACAGATGTCAAGTCCTCAGACTCAATATCCTGACAAACCAAGTCAGTTGAGAGGGGTGGTTCAAAAAACTTGCCAAAGGATGTCATTAAGTTATGAACCCTGTTTCGCAGAAAGTCCATAGTCTTTTGCAGCTTTTCCTTCACAAGAACCAATTCATCAAACTCAGCTTTGATCATTCTCAACTCTTCCTGCAAAGAAGAGTTATTGTTTCTAAGGTTGTCATTTTCCAGAGTACCTTCCTTCAATAAATTAGCCAACTCTGTTTTCTCCATGACACAGGCATTAAATTCGCTCTTGTAACTTTTGTACTCCATCAAGCAGCACTCCAGTTCAGTTATCTTCTCACGGAGATGATGATTTCCTTGGGTGATATTTTTCACATTTTCTTCCAAAGCTTGTTTCTGCAGAGCCATGTCATTATACTTGACAATGCAAGTAGCCTTGTACTCGTTAAGGGAATGAACATCATCCATAGCTGTTTGCAGCCTTTGCATCAATAACTCCTTGGACTCGAGTGAAAGTTCCAATTGCCATGCAAGCTCATCTATTTTGTCTTTCTTTGTTTTAATATCATCATTGGCTTCAAGCAGAGTTTCTAGTAGAGTGTTTGAAAACACATCCAAGTATACATTTTGGCAATGCATTTCACAAACTTCTTCTTCAACCTTCTGGTAAAGGGTTTCCTGCAAATGGAGGGATCTTTTCAAATCTTCTAAAAGGATATCTCCACCCAACTGTTGTTTCTTCACACCAACATACTGATTTTTAGAATGTAAGGGCTTGGTGGTTTGAAATTCCTCAGAGAATCCTTGAGAGTTTGTTTGTGAAGAATCTACAAAAGCTTGCCTTATGAGACTCTCATTCGTCTCAAACACAGACATAACCTGCGAAGAAAGCAGCTCAAGGTCCTTTTGCAACTGGCCCACCGCAATTGAGTAATTAAGGCGTCCTCTTTTCAGTGCTGCTTCTGCAATAATAGCCCTTCTTTCCAGTTCCTTGCTCAGAGATTCCAAATCTTGTTTTTCTTCAGCAAATCGCAAGACTTGCTCATTCAAATCTTGGTTCATAGTCTCCACCTCAGCTTTAGCAGATTGCACTCTAAACAAGCAAGTAGAATGCTCATTTCTGATAGACTGCAATTCTCCCAGCATCTGCCTTTGGTTTTCCTCAAGCTCCTGAACAAGAGCTTCATAGTAGCACTCCATCTGGTCCATTTTCTTTGCAAGGCTTTCCCGCTCAACTTTTGATTCATCCAACTCTCTCAAAAGTTCAAAGATTTTTCCTTTCATTGCATTAGTGGCAACCATAGAATCAGGTTCATGAGGCATAAGACCAGGCACACTAATGCATGGAACCATGCCTGGTTCTGGTTGATAAAGCTCTGCATCAAAACTAGTTGCTGGTATAAAAGAATTAGTTAGGCTCATTTCTCTGGTACTATTCATGTTGCATCTTTCGGATGCCACCGACCTAAGAATAAACATTTCTTTTTGAGTTCCCTGTTTGAGATCTTGCAGAATGTCAAGCAGTGCTTCCAAGTCTGTTTGAATGAACCTATGGTCTCTTTCATGATAATTCAAACATACCTTGTCTTGGAGTTCCCTTATCTTATCCTCCATAACTAAAAGCCCCTTTGACAATATGACCTCTAAATCTTGGAGTAAGTGGTCCTCACCTTTCTTTATAGCTTCTTTGTTGGTTAGAGAAGGGCACAGTTTCGAAATTGTCATTTGCTCAAGGTCATCTTTCAACTTCGAACACTCTAATTTTAAATCAGAAATCTCTTTTGCCAACCTTTCACCTGAAGAAACCTCAGTGACAAGTTGCTGAGAAAATTTCTCGGTTTCAGCACCAATTTGTCTAACATGATTTTGCAATAAGCTTACTTCCATCTTAAGTTCCTGAATAGATGATTCTGCCACTTCCAAGCACCCTCGGAGTCTGCTATTTTCTTCATAAGCAACAGATAAGTCATTATCCCTGGAATAGTCTGAACTCCAGCCATGAACCCAATTGTTAGACCCCTGTGCCAAAAACCAGTGATTTGAGGGATCTCCTTTATCTTGCTGAGGGCTATGACCAAGCCCGGTCAAATCACCAGAGACCGTACTCTTTAGGCTGTCAATTTCATGAGTACTGGACGTATCATGCTTTTCTGCACATAAACTTTCTGACGTATTAGAAGAGCCATCAAACCCAACAGCTGAGTCTCCATAGTCTTCATTCAACCCAACATCTTCCTCGCACAAAGAGTGCTCTTTAGATTTTTCTTTAAATCTAACCCTTGGATTGACCTATATACAGAATAAAAGGTGAAAGATTAGGTTACCTCCTAATTAGAAGACACATACAGCTCATTCATAGAAAGCTCGCAACAACTAGAGGGCCTACAACATAGATTTTCAGATGAACAACTAAAATGTAAAACAAATAAATAAACTTAAAAGATGTGAAAGTATTTTTAAAGATACATCGAAAGTTTGCTGCGTATTGGTTTTGTAGCATGAGACTGCTAGAGGGCTTTATAATAGAATTTCACACATCTCCACGCTCATTTAACCAACTTGACTTTTCAGTAACATTTTTTCACATTGGCTCACAACCATAGCCTATTTGATGGTGTCTACAGAAATGTCATAAAAACCCATGCAAAGACTTATGGCATTCCAGGTAACATCGAAGTCTATTGAATACAATAGTTGTGATTTTAATATTCTAAATTCAACCAGGGAATAGTCATTTCTCTTCAATAAGTGATCTCCTAAACCTTAAAATCACTTTATTTTTTCAAGAGGAATACAGATAAGTGAAGTCTCAAAAAGAAAATAACCATGGCCAATCATGCATATGCAACAAAGAATGTGTATTTGTGGGTATATGAGCAAAGAGTTATGAACTATAAAACAAAAGCAAAGAACCTTAACTAAAATACAACACATATAGTTACAACTAGAAATCCAAAAGAAACAAAGGACTGGACCTTAACCGTATGAATGTTAAGGATATCCTCAGAAACTGATACTTTTCCAGATGAAGACTGATCAGGACCATTTTGATCTGGCCCCACCTGCAATCCTATCTCTCTAAGTTCTCGTTGCTGTTCGAACTCCCTGAGACCAAACATAGTTACAGATAAGAAGATTGATATTAACTGAAAAAATAAGTTTAAATGTTTAAAAAAAAAATACCTGAAACCGGTTTTAGAGGTTAGAAGTTGTACAGTGACCTGTCATTGAATATAAATTAACGATCGATATTAGCTGAAACAATAAGATTGACATAAAACAATAGAATCTAGTAACAGAGAAAAAGCTTCAACACTACACAAATATTTTAGCATTTAGCTACATTATGACTCAAGATATCCAACAAGAAATTGAAAAGAATAAACCAAGAATATTTTGAGAAATCCAAAAGTCCTCACATGTAATATAGCTCCAGGATCACAGCCAATAAGTGGCAGTGGAACAACAGAAGGCTTTGATGCATAAGCATAATCAGCAAGGTTGATGGTCGCCTCACCCAGAAGGCTGGACCGTGAGGAACCCTGATTCCAAATTGATCAACGTGAAAGACAGTTAAACTCAGTTAAAATGAGATAGAAAAGTACTCTTTTCCTCCTTCCGCTGGTTGACCCTTTCCTTTTGGAATGGGTGAATTATGAAGGGGCTTTTTAATGAGACCTCCTACTTTTATAAAAAAAAATGAGATGGAAAGCAAACATCAATTCTGCTACAACTAGAGGATTGTAATAAACTGTCTACAAATCTGGGGAATTCCATAATTCAAGTTTAGGTCGAACTAAGAGTACTTGCCTGTGTGGTTAAGTTTTGCAATTGGACAGTAAGGATTAGAATCTTACCATTGCCACAACAAGCTTATAGAGTTTTTCATCGAACTGCTTAGTTTTGATGTCTTGAAGAAGCCTTGTAGTCTCATAGATTGGATCAGCCCATTTGCAAGTTCCATTTCTCACATTTGCTTTGGTTGTCTTTGCAGTTGCTTTCCCAGAATCGGCAGGAATGAAGGATATATACAGTTTATCCCATCCACTTTGTGGAATCTGAATTTTTCAGAAAAATAAACATAGCAAGATGAATGATGCATCAGAATATGTTTTCCAGTTATGAAAGATGGAAAACAATCACATATTAGATTTCTGGCATATATATAGTGGGAAAGTTCAGATGCACTGATCTTATGAAATGGTGGAAAACAGTCATTCAGATGATTCAACCAGTTTAAGACTTTTTTTTTATAGAATATTAGACCTCATTAAAAAACCCCTTCATACCCTCCATGTTACAACAGTAACATGGACATTGGAAGGAGGAAAATAGTGCCTATGAATTTTATTAATCAGAACAATAATACACAGCCAGTACCTAACAACCTTCTGTTACACCATAACTCTGAAAACAAAACACTCTACAGTAATACAAATAGCTCACAGTACCTATTCCATCTTTAGCTAACTTATCCGCTTCCCAATTAGCCGCTCTCAATATATGCCTTATAATAATATCCACTCCTTCCACAAGAGAAGCTATATCATTCACCAAGGATTGAAACATAGGAGTACATTTAGCGGGATTTTTAATCCACTTCAATAAGAAGCAACCCCCTTTTGATATCCAATAACTCTGCAAGTATAGGAGGACCACCCCAACCTTCTTTTCAACTCTGTTCTAACCGCCAATCTTTGATGTGAAACTTGCCACAGAAAAGTTTCGACTCTGGGAGGAGCCAAACCTGTCCAAACGCACTTTTTCCAATTGAACATACCCCCAGATTTGGAAAAAAGAGTCAACCTACATGCTTTTGCCGAGAACAGTCCATCACTTGTCCCCGACCAAGACAGAAAATCATCAACCGAATCAAACAGAACAATATTCTCAAGCAATGACATTAATTGAATCAGTAATCCAATTCACAATCGCATAAATTCCTTCTTGTTTGAATATTCCAAACCCATCTGTTGCTCACTAGACAGCCAAACTCTAAAACTTTTCCCCACTTGTTATTTGAAAGAACATAAATCCTTGGAAATTGATTCTTTAAAGAATCCTCGTTTATCCAAACGTCGTGCCAGAATAAAATAGACTTGCCATTGCCTACTTGAATCTTAGAGTGAGATTTCAATCCCTGTCCAATTGCATCATCTTTTAAATAGTTCTTAGTAGTACCTTTCCAAATCCATGAGTCCAAAGGAGAGACTACCTTATTGGTAGCTAGGGATAGATTACTAACATTATGTTTGCTGCAAATCAAATTTTTCCAAAGGGTGTCTTTTTCATTTGCGAATTTCCAGACTCATTTACCTAGCAGCACTCTGTTTGCAAAATTCAAGTCCAAGACTCCCAAACCTCCCTCCTCAAAGGGTTGACAAACCCTTTTCCAATTCACCCAATGAATACGACTTTTTGATGATCCATCCCCCCAAAGAAAATTGGCCATCAAAGAATTTAACTTCCTATAGACCTTGCTCGGAATTCTGAAAATAGAGAGGAAGAAAATCGACATAGAGGATAGTACTGACTTTAACAACACCAATCTGCCCGCCATAGATAGTGTGGAAGCTTTCCAACCGGACAAATTCTTGTTAAAACCGTCTCCCATAGAACCTCTGAATTTCTCTTTGCACCTAAGGGTAATCCTAAATACACAGTAGGAAAAGAACCCACAACACAACCAACCTTTGTTGCCCATTCATTTAATAAGCCGTCTTCCACATTAATGCCATACAAATTACTCTTGGATAAATTCAAATGAAGCCCAGTCATTAGGCTAAAAATCCTCAACACTCTCTTAATATTAAGAATATCAGTAGGAGAATCACGGCAAAACATAATCAGATCGTCAGCAAACTGTAAGTGAGTTAGATTAAAAGAATCAAAACTTCCAATAGCAAAACCTTGAAAGAGTCCCAAATCAGCAGCTTTCATCATCATAAGATTAAGAAGTTCCCCCACTATATTAAACAGAAGAGGGAACAAACTACATCCTTGTCTCAACCCTTTACCCATAAAAAATTCATCAGTTGGAGAGTCATTTACTAACACCGAGATTGACGTCGTGGAGAGACAACATTTATCCAAGAAACCCATCTCTCGCCAAAGCCCATGACTCTCATTAATCCAAGGATAATAGACCATTCAACCGAATCATAAGCTCTCTGAAAATCAGCTTTGAAAACGACCCTTTTCAGCCCTTGCTTCCTCCAATAATCTATGCCTTCATTAGTAAGAAAGGCACAATCTAATAATTGTCTCGCCGGAGTAAATGCAAACTGGGAAGGGCTCACAATATCTTTAATCACTGAAACTAGTCTCTTCGATAAAACTTTGGAGATGATTTTGTAAAGATTGCTAACGAGACTTATAGATCTATTATCTTCAATGAATTCCGGATTAATTTTCTTTGGGATCAAAGAAATAAACGCATGATTAACTCCATGGTCTCATTTCTCCCGTAATAAAAATCCTCCATGAACTTCATTATTTGCACCTTAAGAGTTGGCCAGAATTTCTTGAAAAAACCCATCGTAAATCCATCTGGGCCTGGAGCTTTAGAACTGTCCGAAGAGAAAATACCTCTAACTTCCTCCTCTGAAAACTTAACCTCCAGACTATACTTTTAACTTACTCTCAATTCTATAAATTTCAAATTCAGGTCCTCCACCTCCAAAGAATCTTTGAAATTATAAATTTTCGTAAAGAACTGGGAGACATAAGCTTTGATCAGATCTGAATCTTTCAGCTCCTCCCCATCCACTTTCAATGCCGAAATGGTGTTGATTATGTTTCTGTTTACAGCACATAGGTGGAAGAACCTAGTGTTTCGATCACCATCTTTGATCCATTTCGCCCTTAATTTTTGGAACCAAATACTTTCTTCAATCCTGTGCATTTTCCATAGCTCCTTTATGGATATCAGGAGCTGTTCCCAAACATATGAAGAAAACCCACTGCCTTGCGCCTTTACACCCAAATCATTTATTTTGCTCTCCAAAACTGAGATAACTTTTGAAATACCCTCTTTGCTTCTAATTGGCCACTCCTTGATACGCTTTTTAATTCCTTGTAATAAATTGTATAATCCCCATCCCCTTCTATCTTTTTCCCGATCTATCAATGATTTTTGAACCATGTCTACAAAACCATCTTCCTCCAGCATATAGTTAAAAAAACGAAAAGGTTTAGGGCCCCAGTTTTTCTTGTCTTCTTCCAATAGCACCGATTGTGGTCAGAGAGGGATTTAGGAAGCATTTTTTGGATATTCTTTGGAAAGCAACTTAAGAAACTGCTATTAATCAAGAAACGATCTAGTCTAACCCATGTAGGAATCTCCCTGTTATTACATCATGTGAAAGTACCACCTACTAAAGGGAGATCTATTAAATTTGATTGGTGCAGAAAATTCCTCAGCAGATCCACTGAATGCCAATTCTGTGAGGCACCATTCTTCTCCTCTTGGTCTAGATAAGCATTAAAATCTCCCCCAATACAGACTGACAGATTAACAGAAAGAACATAACTCAACAGCTGCCTAAAAAACTCCTCTTTTTCATCCTTAATTGAAGGACCGCACACATTAATAATAACACACTCCACGTTAGACTCCTTGAACTTTCTTGATAACGCCTGAAATCTGCTTTGGTTATACACCCTGCTAACCTCATATTTATTCTCATTCCACAAACAAAGCAGTCCACCCGCTGTCCCCTTCGCTAGCTGGAAACTCTCTCCCTTCAGCTCAAATCCCCCTAATTTCCTGCTAAGACCCTTCTGACATTTATTCAATTTAGTCTCCCGTAAAAGCAATACCACCGGTTTATTCTTGTCTACAAGTCTCGACACCGCTCTAATTTTTCCTTTCTCACTAGGCCCCTTACATTCCAAGAAATAATCTTGCAATCCAACATAGATACTTGAAAATCAAACCTATGAGAAGCAGATACTGGCCAAAACTATCTACCTTCACTTACTACCTCTGAACCTTTCTCAAGCTTTTTAATTTTTTAAATAAAAACCTCCCTCCCTTCCTTGAAAGAAATGCCTAAACTCTGACAGACTTCTCACGTTGCCATTGCTTCCTCTAGCACTTTAGAAAAGGAACGAGAATAAATAGTTGAAACTTCTGCATTGTCTAAAGCTTCTGTGATTAAACCTCTTCTCTTCATTCTATACTTTCTTCGAATCCCTAAAGCACTAAAAGAATTTGCTGCTAATAATAGGAACCATTGAGTAACTCCGAGCAAGAGCAGAACGGTTGATTTCCTTGTCTTGTCCCCTTTCCCCCGAACTTGTTGAAAATTGCTAATTATTATGAACATTCCTGTTCAGATTGAGCTTATGATTACTTTCTGAACATAACCAGACTCATCTTGTTTTTGACCTACTGTAAACTCGAACAAAACGTCCACTTCCCCTCATTCCTTCGGATGTACTTCTTATTGACAAGCCCTTAGATACCTGATATCCCGATTTCCATCTCCTAGAACTCTTCACCTTGATTTTGATGTTTTCCTTCTGAAGCTTCAATCCTTGGTCACCCATAACAAAAACCTCAACTTCCTAGATGCCTTCATTCTTCTCCTCTACCATGTTACAACTATTCTCCTCAAATACTTCAGAAGGAGATTGAACCTTATAATGACTTTTGAACCCGACCCCATTTAAATTCACGGTAGGCCCAGCAGGAATTATTTTTGAGACAGGACAATAAGACCCCCAATTAGAATTAGACCGTGCTGAAAGACTCTATCCCACTACCTCTCGCAGCCCAAGACCCATGTGATCCCAACAGGGATTAGTCTCACATATAAAATTCTCTGACACCCCATTAATCCTGGATTTCGAAAAAGAATTTTGTTTCAGAGAATGTTCCCTATTTTCCTCGTTCTCCCCACTATCATGACTTTTCTGAAGCCACCTGTCCACCTTTGACCGACCTCCCTCAGCCACAAATCCCCTACTAGCTTCTTCATCCACTTTTCTTCCTCCATCTTCCTCGTTCAGGTATTCAGCACTCTAGCCAACAGCTGAATGATTCTGCAGATCTTCACCATAAGCAGCAGAACTAAATTCACACTTGATTCCAGAATTGATTTTGACTTTGACTTTAAAGGATCTGCTATAAGATCCTATTGTCACAAATTCAGGGACATCGAAAGAACTTTCTACCCTTATCAACACTTTCGCCGAGTAGAGGTCCTCTCTCCTTGTTTCCTCCGATATACTAATAAAGCTTCCCCAAGTTCCTACGAGTTTCTCTAAAAAAGATTCATTCCAGGCAATAAGTGGTAGTCCAACCAACTCTATCAAGCAGTATGACAGAGGAACACCCACATCGTTCACCAACGGTGCAATCCAATCAAACCATACATAAAACTTCTCTTGGAGATTCGACCAGGCCTTAACAAACTCTACATTTGTGTTGAACACTATGACAGTGGCATTCCTAACGTAACCCCACCTAACAATCTTAACCCCAAAACCTTCCTCTACCAAAGCTTTTATCACCCTATGAGGCTATAATGAGTCCTTAATCACCCCTGTTAAAGAATTTTTCACCCACCCATAATCTTCAAAAGAGATGTGCATATCCCATACGTTCCTTACTCCCTTTGTTATCATATTCTGACCTCCCCTATTTTCCAAGAATTTCTGATCCATTATCCTGATATTCTCCACCTTCAAGACCTCCTTATAAGATCTGTCATCCCTCAGAACTTTGCATACTCCTCATTTGATCCTGTTGACCACCATATTTCTCTCTCACTGACATGTTCCCTTCTAGTTGACCTCTTTTTTCCTCTGTTACTCCTTTCCTCTCATTCTTGTACTTAGCCACCCCAACTGACACTCTCTTTCTTTCTATCAGCGTACCATTAACGAACCTAACCGCTCTTGTACACCCTTCTTCACTCGCATATTGCACAAAGGCAAACGTGGAAGTTTTATATTTTGGCTTAAACATAATATTCGGAATAAAAATCCTCACAACTCGACCATAATGATTGAAAATCTCTCTTAACTCTAATCTAGAAACTCTCTTACTGAGATTATCAACAAAAACAGTCCATTCCTCATCGGAGGAATGTCGACCACTTGCGCTCCCTCTCTTTCTCTCTCTACCTTTCTCACTCATCGAATCTTAAAAATTGTGTACTTCCCTATTATTACACTATGTAAATCGACCTCCAAACAAAGGCAGACATACCAAATTAGCTTTACTCACAAAATATCTGAAAACACTCATTGAAACCGAATTCACAGCACCTCCAGCTTTCTCTTCCTGTGACAAAACAGCATTGAAGTCTCCTCCTAAACACGCAGGGCATTCAACATTCTCCAAAAAGGATAATAACTCCCCGAAAAATCAGTTTAAGACTTAAGTCTAGTCGACCATCTATCCAATATTATGGCAAAGAGACAATGACTTGACGTCAATTCTTTTTGAACCCCTATTGTGATTAGAAAATCATCTTTTAAGCCGACACAAGTTCTTACATTTATGACGGTGGTGTTGTGCATATACTGTATATTTGAGAGGAAATCTCGTCTTGCTCACAGCCTACCAAGAATGCCCTCAGGTAGCTTACCACATATTTCTTAAGCCAATAAAAATCATACTTAACTAACTTCGACCCTCCAAACCTACCAATAAGTTGTGCAGGGAATGAATAATTTCCACAGTAGATTGTCATACATGAAATCAAGCCAATTTTGCACACTATTAGCATGTTATAAACCTTGCTCAATAACCTTCTCAAAGTTTCATGGTATAACTCATAAGTTATTCCCCTAAAATTTGAGTAAAAGAATGTCATCTTTGCTTTTATATAAAGGCACCAAAATACTCTTCCTCCACTCACAAGACATCTTATTACTTCATCAAATCTTGTTAAGGAACGGGTTCCAAAAAAGACTAAACTTACGGCTAGCGCATAAAGTTTAATCCCCCAAGCAGTTGACCTACTAAAACTCTTGGACATTGAACAAACTACACCCATTTTGTAAACTTTCCAATCTACTTTTTTTTAATCTCTAAAACTCTCTAACTACAAATACCGGCCAAAGACTCGAAAGAAAATTGTGCATTAAAAATACATATTTCTTGCCACATACAAGCAATCATGAAACTGTAATTGCATGGTCGAAGTAACATAAAAGATAAAATCACAATCTAAGTAAACATCATATAACATTCACATAATATAGATGAAGTTCTACATTCAATGCATTGGCATCGAGTTGTTGATCCACCTTAATAAGGTACATTGTACAATTTGGTACACATTAAAATTTCCAATATTACCAATTCATCAACTTGTAACATGAGCTTATGTATAACAATATTAGGGTCTGTTTGTTTGCTTGTAATTGGTTTTTCGGAAAATGAATCACTGGAATTTGAATTACTGGAAAATGAATTACTGTAATTTGAATTCTGGAAAATGAATTACATTTCCGGAAAACGTTTTCCGGAAAATGTTTTACGTAAAATGAATTACATTTTTCTGAAAAACATCTGGAAAACGTTTTATGATGTTTGGAATTGTTATTTAAACTTTTTTTTCACTAGTTGAAGAGTTTTTTAAAAATTATTTATTACAAATATTAAATACAATAAATAATATTATTTATCATAAAACTTATTTATTATTAAAAATAATTTATTTATTATTAAAATAATTTATTTATTATTAAATAGTATTTTAATAATTTTATTAATAAAAATATTAATTTTTGTATATTTTAGTGAAATAAAAATATTATAAATTATATTAATTATTTATTAAAGTAATAGTGTTATATTATATTATAAAAATATTAATTAGTATATTTTAAATATCTTTATTAAAATATTATTTAAATATATAAATAATATTATTCATTATTCAATATATAAAAAACTTTATTATATATTATTAAAATAAAAATATAATATCTTATATTATTATAATATAATTGGTTATTTTATATAATATTATAAATATTATATTATTATAAATATTAATAAATAAATAATATTTTGATGAAAATGATATTAAAATATTTTATTAATATTAAATTTATAAAATAAAATTATTTTGAGTATTTATTTTTTGAAGTGAAAAGTTCGGAAAATGACTTTCGAAAATGAATCCGTAAATCATTTTCCAGAAAATACAAAGGAAATTTTATTATTAGGAAAATGAATTACGTTATGAAAAATCAATTATGTGAAACAAACACTGGAAAACATTTTCCGGAAAATGAATTACGTGAAACAAATACGGAAAACGTTTTCCTGAAAATAAATTACGTGAAACAAACACGGGAATTCGGAGAAAACCAATTCCGTAATTCCAATTACGGCAAAATAACATACCCTTAGCTTCAAACAGAAAAATCTAAATAGAAATGCCAGAAAATTCCACAAGTACAAATTGCAACTCACATGTGTAGCATGGAATTGTAACCGGAACACGACTTTTATTTTTGTCTTCTCAATCTTCCACTTAGGGATCCTCGACATCACCAGCAAATCAATTAATCCCCCAGCTCTATGACATAACAACCCCCCTCTCCCCCAGATTTTACTGTCCCTGCTTATAACAAAACAACCGAAAATTACAATATCACTTTCACATAGATAGGATAGCTGAGACCAAATAAAACTAATTCAAATGCAGGTATAAATATGTTCGGAATCCAAAGCCTACAGCAAGCACTGAGATCCCATAAGTGTACTTCACCAGCACAGTAAGATAAGTAGGAGAAAAACAAGGTAAAGGCAAACAAAAGAGGATTTTTATTAAAAATAAGAAAAACAATGCAAAAGCAAATAAAAGAGGGTTTTTATTAAAAAGAACCCAATTACACAGAAGGACGATTCAGATCAAGGTTTGAGTTCAATAACAGGAAAACAAATTGAACAAAACTTCAAGCTAAAATCTAGAGGAGAAAACCCTTAAGCTCTACTTATCTCGATGACCTGATCTACTGAGTTTGACTTCACCATTTTTTCAGAACCCATTCAAGATCCAAACAAGTATAAAGAGGATATTTGAACTAAAAGCCAAATTAGGCAGACCATACCTTGTTCAATGCAAAAACCCAGAATCAAACTTCGAAATTCAAAATGCTAACTTAAAATGATCAGATCCAAACCCTTTTTATTGAAAAATAAAAACAGTGAATTTAAAATAAAATAAAAAAGAGGAAGAAAAGCTTACAAAAGGAGAAAATAAGCAAAGAATAGAAAATGGCACTTCACGCACTTCAAAGAAACAAAGATGCAAATGTCCACCTTCAGAAAGACTGACGCAAGAGGAAAACGGAAAAGAGTTTAAGAGAATCCAAAACAAAATGCCACACCAAAATAAGATAAATGAATAGCACCTATAACAAAAGCTTCAAAATACTACTATTTTTCTTTCCTTTTCGGAAACATCGAAGAAAAACAAAAGAACACAGATGTGGCGAGAAAAACAAAAGCAAAAACCGACCCAACCCAACTGAGAATACGTCAATAAATGCACATGGTAACAGTAATCCATGTAAAAAATGACATTTTGAGTCCACTTAAACACTAAAAAACATACAATAAAAGAATGCCGAGGAGCAATGAAGTTAGGTACCCAGCAGCAGATGGTTAGGTGCTTAAGCTGGAAGAAAGGGAAGATAAATCTTTTAGCGAAGGTTCCATTTCTCATACAAACGACAATGAATAAGAGGAATTTTTTTTAGGAAAATAGACGAGCGTCTGAGAGGGACAGGAAAAAGGCTTTTTTTTTAATTATGAGTTGTTTTTATTTTTCAGTAATGTGTGAGTGTTTGCTAGGTGGGATTTTTGGGAGAGAGAGTGTATTTTAGTTGGCGTGAGTAAGGATAAAATGTTGGGAGGTTTTGCTTTGATTTTCGAAGGAAAAAAATAGGGTAAATTATACAAATGATCCTTTTATTATGAGACGTTATTTTGTTAAATTTTTTTATTATTAAAATTATAAAATGATTTCAATTATAGAGGTTGTTTTGTTGAGTCCCTGATTGTTAAAAGTTTTGTTTAGTCCATTATTGTTAAAAGTTTTGTTGAGTCCTAACAGTTAAAATTTTCAAAATGATCATCTGATTATTCATATATTCTAAACTCATTCATTGTTGAAAATTTGACGATATTCTGAGTTGAAAGTTAACCTATTGGTTGTAATATGATAAAATCACATTTTTAATGATTTTTACTATCTTTGTCGTTGCTTTCAAATATTGGTTTGACGATATAATATTTCAAATACTAGCCCAATGACATAATATAAATAGAGAGTAGATCCACAAAATATAACTCAAATAATTTTGAGATTGAATTTTATCATATCTCAATCAACAGGTTAACGTCCAACTCTGACGGCCATCATTTTTTTAACAAAAAATGATGTGTCGGAATATATGAATGGCCGGTGATCATTTTGTAACTTTTAATAGTCGATGGACTCAACAAAATAATATTCTATAGTTATAGGATAATTTTATAACTTTTAATAGTTAGGAGATTTAGCAAAGTAATGCCTTGGTGGGTCATTTGTAACTTTTAATAGTTTGGAGATTTAACAAAATAATACTTATAGTCGAGGGACTATTTGTATATTTTACCCAAAAATATATTAAGATTAAGAAGATAATTAATTAGGTAAAATGGAAGTTTGTTTATAGGTAAAATATGAGCTTTCAGATTTCAAGCAGAAAGGGTTTTGCTTTGATTTTTGAAGAAAAAATATAGGAAGATCAAGAAGATAATTAATTAGGTGAAATGGAGGTTTGTTTATAGGTAAAATATGACCTTTCAGGTTTCAAGAATAAAGGGTTTTGCTTACCATAAAAAAGGGGTTTTGCTTTGTGTGAGTAGAAAATGGACATTTCGCCAAAGCTTGGAGTTGTCAATTGTTTGCTAATAATTATAATTTAATAATTGATTTAATACAATTTATAAAGCAATTATGAACACACTTCAGTGGGGTACCTCATTTTTTTACTGAAAAGGAAAAAAAAGTTAATTCGTGCTTAGCTTAGGTTTTGTTTGGAGTTTTAAGATAATGGACCGACCAATCGCTGATTGCCACTTGTGACAGCTGGACCACTAATAATTCAATTGAAGTATCAATATGTCATTGGACCACCTAAATGGTTGGTATTTAAATGATTGTCCCTTTTTTCTTTTCTTTTTTTATTTCCAATTCCTTCAAATTTTCTGAATTTATATCTTGACTTTTAAAAAAAATAATTATAAAGTAATATATATTCAAAAAGATTTTAATTATTGATAACATACTAATATTATATAAACGTGATTTTTTAAACTCAGAACATTTGTGGAGAATAATATTTTATTCAACCATTAAAAACACTTAATGAATTTTTATATCTAAATTTTTTAATAATATTCTTATATCTTGACTTGGCATTTAACAACAAAAATTAAAGGGCAATTCCATCAGATACCATTGAACTTTAGACGTTGTATCGTTTATCACTGAGCTTTCAATTTTGTCAATTATAGCATTGAACTTTGATTTTTGTTTCAGTAATACCATTGAACCATTAAATCGTTAACGAAACAATGACGTGGCTGACGACTATTAATATGGCTAACGACTATTGACGTAGGCACCTCACCAAAATGAAATCATTTTGATCTGACCGTTAACAATTTAACAACATGTGGTATAATTGAAACAAAAATTAAAGTTCAATGATATAATTGATAAAATTGAAAGTTTAGTAATATAAACGATACAACGACTAAATTTTAGTGATATATGGTGTAAGTTACCCACAATTAAATAAATTTTGAAACTACTTGGTAAAGTTATATATTATACAATGACTTTACTTCTATTGCTTCTCGGTTTTATCATGGGGATAAAAGAAGCTTACCTCTTAAAGTTTGGTTTCATTTAATTCTTGAAGAGAAGAGATAATTTGATATACAAAATATTAAATTACTAAGATTATTGAAATATAATATTATTTGATATATTATTAGACATGTTTTATTATTTTATTTTATTTTATTTATTTAATAGAAATGTAAGGTTATGTGATTTGATTTGAGAATATAGGATAAGAATAATATATTTTTTATCAAATTATCTTTTATATATATATATATATATTAACAAGTTGAATTCTCAAAATTAAAGTGAAAATATTTGCATGAAAGTTTGTTAGGATTATTAAGGATTTATGAATTGACTGAAAAAGTGTCAAGAGGGATGAATTGACATTTTGAAAAATTTGGGTGTGGAAATAAAAAGATAAACAGAGGCACAAAGATTTAAAGTGATTCAATTTCCTCAATGAAGTCTACATCCACTACCTTAGCTCCACAGTAAGGATTTCTAACAAATTCTCTAATTTATTCTTTTTTTAGGCTTTAGTAACATTTATAATTCCTCAGTTTTTAAAGGCTAAAATAGAGAACCACTCCTCTTTCAAAAATGGATAAAATATTTAAACAAAAAAAGCACAAGGTAAGTGTTTACAAGAATTAAGCTTACAAGAAATCAATTAAAAGATATGTAATGAGCTCAAACACTTATGTACAAGATAAAAAGGAAAATAAACACTGAAAAAAAATTCTATTGGCCTTATTATTTTAGAATGATGTTGTAACCTTTTTCAAGTGTCTCTTTATTATTTTTATCAGTTAAATGTGTTTCTAATTGTTATAGTCATCTGAAGCATTAAAATCATGCAATTAAGGTGTCGTACCCTAATTTTGTCCGAGTTGCTCAAGATTGAATTCAAGGCAATTGAAACAATTTTTTGGAGCTATTCGGTTCGAGTGGAGTTGAAGTGTGGGTCAGCAGGCTTCAAATAAAATCTATTTCACACACCCTTGGTTATCGATGGATTGGTACATATTCCCGTGTTTAACAAACCATTTGTTTACACAACCATAAAAACAAATCCAATAATTGAAATACAACACCAAAATTCAAAAATCATTACATAGGACCCATACCCAAAATCGACCCAATTACACTTTCCATAGTCATCATCCTAATCCATTTACATTGTTAACCCATGTAACCCACAATACCAAAACCCAAACAAATAAAATCCAAATAAATTTAGCCCGATTACAAAGACTATTATCTAAGTCCCATCTCAATATCCAAAAATAGGCCCATTCAACCCATAATATGTTATGGTTGTGTGAAACCCTAAGCCAAATGTAGCCTTCTTCAGCCGCCAATCTTGGCCTTTCAGCTTTCCATCCGTGGCCCCTAACAGCACACGCGCCCCTGCCACGACAACTCCTTCCTACGTTGAGGTCTTCTTAAGGTCCCACCAGTAACACCTTTTTCAGAAACTTTCCCAAACGCTCGATAGGCATGCACAGAAAAATAGAAAAAGAATTTGATTTGTATTTTCTTTAATTTTTTATTATTTCTTTTATCGTAAACCAAATTAGGCATTTATAATGAGAGTTTTTGGATTAATCAGATTTATGTCCCTCTAATATTACCGTGGTTTTGCATTTTCGTCACATCTAGTGTTCTTTGCGAGTTTGATTTAATTATAT